TTTTTAGTTATGTATTTTCAGTACAATATCTTTGTACTAAGAAAGGGAAGGAACTTGCTCAGTGGGAAGGAACAACTAGGATGAAAAAACGGACAAAAGAATGAAGGGAAGAAGACATTTATGTATACCTATGCACGGTAATTTGGATCATGGTACTGCCAAATTATTTTTGTCTTTGACAGGAATTGAATGCTTAAAATATGTTTTATTTAGGTTTTTCTTTTTTCTCTTTGATTTCTTATAAAGCTATTATTGTTTCATTTTGCTTTTCTTTTCTTTTGTTTTAACCAGTTTTGCATGTTTATACCTGGTAAATTAAACAACTATTTGGAAGACAACATGATGCAATACAGCAAACACTTGTTGAATTCCTAGTACTTTGGTGACATTTTATCCTTCTCATTCTTTTTTCTTTTGGCTAGTATTTATTCTGTAAAATGCATACTCATGTATGTCATCGTAGCTTTCCAATAAGTTGGTCCAAGATCCTTCCAGCAATTCTAGTTCCGACTGGGGCAGTGCCTAGCCAGCAACTTGGTCTCAGAACTTTCTGTGGTTGCCTGCTTCTCACGAAGTTTTATGGCAATTTGAAATAATGAAATACTGTTATTTACCTGAGAAGTCTTTGTAGTGGTTAACATGTGCAATAAATTACCTTTCTTATCCAAATTTCTCACCTGTTCCTATTTGGCTAATGGTTTTCATTTTTATAAGGAGAGTATATTGCATAATGCATAAGGTTGATATAAAGAAGGTTTAACTACATATTTCCTTTTTCCTGCATGGAATGCATCTTCACAAATAATGTAATTTTAAAAATAAAACAAATTTTAACTTCTTTCTGTGTATTCGCAATCTATCACGTAAAAGCTTAGTAGCCACTTCTATAGAGATTTCTAAGGCATTTATATTAGAATGGATAACTTAGGTTTTTTCACTTTGATTTTTGGCCCATGATTGGAAGCAGAACACCACTTTGAAATATGTAAGTAAATATTGAGAAAGGTAAAAATATCACAATGAATTGAACTATCTCTGCTAGAATTTCTAAAAAAATACAATGAAGGCACTGTGTATACACAGACTTATTTTTCTTCATGTTCTAAATATGTGCATTGTCCAAAGATCTTTCAAATTTGCTCAGAAAAGTCTCACCTTACAAATTTCAATCTTGAACAGCAATTGGTATTTAAATTTCATGACTGCAAGTTCAAGAGCCTGAATTCAATTCTCATTTCCACCAAAAGAAAAAAAAATGAAAATAAATAAATAAATGAATTCCATTGCATAGGCATAGTGTTAACTATCTATCTGAAATCAGTTGTCTTTTTTTTTGTGGCAGAACCAGGGATTGAACTCAGGTCTTTGCACTTGCCAAGGAAGCACTTATTCCACTGAGCCATCTCCCTGGCCCTCAGTTGTCTTATTTTTTATAGTGATTGAATAAGTATAAGCACAGTGTTTAATATATCAGGCATTAGCATTATGCATACTTACTCTTGTCACCACATTTTTTCCAACTTAATGAAATGTATGATGTATTTCCAATTAAATAACTGATTGATGTTTATGAATATCATGAATGCTGAGTTATGTAGTAACAGTTACATGGTGCTATCCCTTTTTACACTTTTACTTCTTTCTGTAAATGTTTCTGAAATCTAATCACTTTCTGAATTTCTCCCAGATCATCCCTTCCCTAAGCAAAATTAACTCAAAAAGCCAAGTGAAAAATGAAAACAAAAATCTTGAGAAGATACGATTTTCCAAGGGAGTAATGTAATGTTAGTTCTCCAAACATGCATGGAACGCTAACATCTCAAAATAGTTTTTGTCTTCTATTTTACATGTGAGGGATCATTAAAGGGTAACCATAAAACTTGGTAAAGACACAGGCCCAGAAAGATGTATGGGCCTGGCTTGATAGGGCCTGACCATATTGGCTATAGGGTCCTTTGACTCTGAAGTCTTTGTTTCATCGCACTACTACATTTAATGTCAGTGAATCAAGGAAGTATTAAACTTTCGTTTGGTGAACGAAACTATCACTATGCTTCCAACAGTATTAAAAGCATTATATTTTAAAGGCATTAAAATCTGGTGCATGTTTTCCTTGCTAAAACTAAACTCTTAAAATCCTATTACAAAAATTTTAAGCACTTATAAAGGAATTCTTTCTAACTGCTTGTTAGGTTTGAACACAGAACCCATAAGAAGGGCTTTATTTTAGAACCTACACTTCAAACACCACTGAAAATACAGCACTTCCGGTAGTTGGCCTTTTGCAGATTCTTCCATATGACATGTCTCAAACAGTCTGTGCACTGTCAGAAACATCTGCATGGCTTGTCATTGGACATTTTCAACAAAAGAAAACCCCCATCTCTTAAGGGTCTCACTTCCTGTGACATTTTCTCGTACTCTCAACTGCTTCCAGGTAAAACCAGGGCAGCTTCCCAGGATGTACAGCTCCTGCTAAACAATATTTCTAGATGCCAGCACACTCAGCCAGCCTAATTGTGCCAACATAATACAACGGTGAGTACAATAAAGTTACCGAGGACTGAGCGACATGCTCCAAAGGCTAACACATTTCAACTATGATGGATAATTCAATCCAAGTGACCATTCTATTCCTTGCTTAATTTAAGCATTTTAGGATTAATGATACCTATTGATTGTAAAGGCCTAACTAGATTTTCAATTTCTCTTTTAATCTCAGACTAAATGGTAGAAGAGAACATCAAGTGGCAACGTAAGAGTCCTAGGAAAATGGACTTTTGTATCCCATGTGTTGATGTTGTGAGGCAGTTCATCATAAACTGCGAATGTGATTTCTTTGTATATTGCAAGAAAAAAACAGCAGTGTATGAGTTACAGGATTAAAATATTTTTTACTTGAGAAATGACTTGGGGATAAAGGAGAAGCTTTTGCTCTACTGGCATGACAGCACATTAATATACAAATATTTTCCATCACAAATGAGCAATAGCATGTCACATTCTGGGTGAGCAATACCATGCTAACGTGAGAAGCACTCAGGAATCATAAACTCAGTAACATCAAATTAAGGATACAAAATTTACATAGCAAGATAATTTATTCAAAAGGCAAAAGAAGAAGATAGCTAGCAACCCTGACAATAACCAGGCTGGGCTCTTTAGATAACACTCCAGAGCCTTTGTTCCTGGCTGATTTTATTGGGTTTTAAGGATCCCTTGGCCCCTCGGGAACTTGCTATACCTGCACTGGCTCCCCCAGCTGTCTTTGCATTACACAATAGCCCTTCACTATGTCATTTGTTAGGGAAGTTTTGGGCAACTATGTTTTGTCTACTTGACCCTGAAAGGGCCTTTACTCCAATGTAGGCAGTGGGTTGCTTATGAGATGCCTCATTCATAGTCAGTTTTCAGATAGGATAATGTCACTTGAGTGTCTACCATACCAATACAGTGCATCTAGAGTGATCATATAGTGACCCTAGAGAGAATACACATGTATATGAATCTATGTATGTTAGGGCATCGGTATGAATGCATACTGTATACAATCTCCTCCATAGTTAGTTATCCCTGGCTCTCCTTTCCCTGAATTCTGTAAGTGCTAAGCATTTATGCTCTTGACTTTCTTTATTATCTGCTTGTCAGCTCTTTCTCTGGTTTTGATTCAAGTGCAAATGCTGTTTCATGCCTTTCAGTATTCTCTACAGTTATCCATTAGACTCTTTCAAGTGGAAGTTTTCAATTAAATTCTTCTAGATAGGATTCGTCCAAAAACCTATAAAGCCCCCTATTTTATTATTTCCCTACTTCCCTTTCCCCAACCTGTTGGGAAACAGTCAAGAGATTCACAATAAAAATCCTGACAGGAACATGTCAAGCTTTTTCAAATGCCAATGACCAATAGCAGGTGTAGAGCTTCCCCATTCAATCAGGGTTGTGTAGGGAACATCATAAATGTCACTGTGGATTGTGAGATTTGGTTTTCACAATACGGTTTGTATTTAGTTAGAATGTTATTTCCCTCATTCTTATTTTATGTGAAAAATGTAAACATCACAGAAATTACATTGGATTCTAGTGTGCCAGCTCTTCTTTTTAGTTGTTCATTTCTAAACCGCTACCTTGACTCAGGAATTTTATTCCCACAGCATTAATTCAGTGAAACATAAAAAATTAAAACAAAACATCAATAAAAAACTGAATTAGATGAGACTGTCATTAAATTCCGTGGTTAACTTCAAAGCTAAATGTACAGGAAAATTGCATTGAGTAGTGGTTCAATTCAGTTTGTGACCAAAATTGCAGGAAACATGAAGTCTGTGACCTGAGCAAAGCACAACTGTAATTTTCATGTCATGAAAGGAATTGAAACAAACCTGTGTTTCACCAAAAAACTCATTATATGCCTATAATCTCATGTAACCGTCTATCAAGTCATTGCTGAACGTGGGCATTCAAGAAAGGCCCTAACTCCATACATAAAAACTGGTTTACTTTGATTAGGACTGTCTGTTTCTTTGCCATTAAATCCTTTTGATGCTTCAATGTAGAATTCAGG